GACACAACCTCATCCCGAGTGAGCGAGAGACTCCGGTGCCTTTACGACGACAACCAACCCCGACAACCCAGTACGCGCTCAACCTCCCCTCCTCCCCCCGATTTTTCCTGACTTCCAGTCTCTGACCCGCCGCCACAGAAAAATCCGTCAAGATGGTCAAGAAGAGGGCGAACAAGTAAGAACAACCGATCACCACCCTGAATTTTGCTGCTCCCACCCAACTATATCCAAACCCACCTCCAAATTCGATATCATGCTCTGGACTGCCAAATCGCACGCATCCGCACATACATACGCCGGGACCCGAACAACAATTCGAACGATACAAGAAAGAGTCACATTCCGAATCGAACAATTCGAAGAGGGCCCGGCGGATATGTCTTATCGGTGGTGATTTGTTCGACAGACATGAAGTTGAAGTGGATTACCCAAGACACTTGAAAAAAACTTTTACCACACAAGTCTGTTCAACGGGTCAGAAACTAACGCTTCTCCTATAGCGGTCGCAACAAGAACGGCCGCGGCCACGTCAAGCCCGTGCGCTGCTCCAACTGCGCGCGCTGCACCCCCAAGGACAAGGCCATCAAGAGATTCACCATCCGCAACATGGTTGAGTCCGCTGCCATCCGTATGTTCCACCGATTTTTGCCACCGCAACCCCCATCGTGATTATTGGTTACACCACCGCGCCGCCTATTGTTCGTTCCAAGAAAGAGCTGGACCTGGTCAACTGCATTGCATTTTGGAGACGACGAGTTGGCGGACGTTCGGCCGCCGCAGGAATTGAGCAATAGGCCGCCGGACAACAGAAAACGACATGAGCCCCGCGACTGACATCTACTCTCCGCAGGTGATATCTCCGACGCCTCCGTCTTCACTGACTACGCCGTCCCCAAGATGTACCTCAAGCTGCAGTACTGTGTCTCCTGCGCTATCCACGGCAAGATCGTCCGGTACGCATATGATCATTCTAAACACGGATGTCGCTTGATGCTGACCTTCACTTCCAGTGTCCGCTCCCGGGAGGGTCGTCGCAACCGTGCCCCCCCTCCTCGCATCAGGTACAACAAGGACGGCAAGAAGCTGAGCCCCCCTCAGGCTGCCAAGGCCAACTAAGGGAAAGGAAATGGAATGAATCATTAATCACTTTTTTTCCTCGAAAGAGAACAAAAATGGAATTAGTTTGAAAAAGGGCCAATTCCTACTCGGCGTAACGCTTTTCTCTTGATCATGTGTGCTTGATGAAACCATCTTTTCTTTACTTTTCAATGAACGGGATTCAGTTACGGGGTTGAAAAAAAACGGATTATCAAAAGTCTAAGGGACTGGCTTTCTCCCAGGAGATGTTGTAGATACATCAGTTATTGGCCCGCAGGCAAAGGAGCCACGCTTGTTCAGTCGGCATCTCTTTGGAAGACATCGATTTGGAATGTTTCCATCCGGGTAAATGCTTAGCTACTTCTCTTAGCCCTGTATCACATGTCATGATCTGAATATGCTAGACTTGCCATGTTCTCTCGATATAAGCAACCTATCGTGGCTCACGGGTATAAATAGCCCTTCTCGAAGTAGTTCCCATACATATCGACGACCCCACTGCGTCCTTTGGGGGTTGGATTTCGTATTATCTTCACTTCTCCTTTCCAGTGGCCTTCCACGAACTGTTGAACGGACTGCATGGGGGATGATGCTCCTGCTAAGGAAGAGAAGCTTGGGGACGGAGAAAAAGAGGAGACTGTAGTGGCAGGAGAAAGGTTAGAGGAGAATGTGGTCCCCACTGTATACCGTCGCCTTCGATCGCGCCTTACCCCTTCTTCATACTCTATCTTTTTAGCGCGTCGGAAGGCAGCCAGCTCAGCGACAAGATCTACCATCGGGACTTCAACCTGAGACTCTGCGGTGGCAGAGCTTTTCATGCCTGCTGTAGTAGTCGATGAGCCTTGGGGGTGACTATCTCTTGCGGTAGATGTGGAGCCTATAGAAATAGTCCTCGATCTAGCTTGCGGTGTGTATTGCTGACCTGAACTGATTGATATTGGAGATGAAGTGGCGTTTGGTTCCGGGTATCCAGAGAGCCTGGGGTCATCATCTTCTGGTATCAACGAGACCTTTTCATTCAAAACAGCCATGGGAAAGTATTTTCCTGAATAGCCATCTGGAACTCCACACTCTTCTTCGCCGAAAAAGCTGAAATCATCAACGGCTGCTGACCAAAGGTTTTCGGAGTCCCGGTCTCCCGTACTTGATTTCAAGGTACCAGCCTGGTAGCTGGTAGGTCTCCATCGAGTCAACCTAGCGCGACCTTGAGCTGGATATGTCGACGTAATTTCAAGTACAATCCGGCGCAAGGCAAATAAGGACCGAGCGCTCTCTTGTTCGGCTTGCAGTCGAGCTTGACCAGGTGGAAGCGAATAATCTGACCCTGCCTGAAGCGTAGCTAGTAATGATTCGTTCGAGCATGCTGTTATGAAACGAACCAGCGACGCAAGAATCGGTGAATTTGCGGGTACATGAGATGGAACGTCAGTCAACACGAGCTGTTCTAAATGAGAAACGTGGGAAGGATGCAGATGTGGATAATAGTGGCTTCCTCTGCTATTCCGGCGAGGAAGGCCCTTAGGACGCTTAGAAAGCAGTTCCTGGACTTTCCGAGCGCGGGAATCATCTATTGCCACTGGAATGGAACATAGTGTTTGGCTGCCTAATGTGTCGATGTTGCTATCCAGGATGCTGGAGATACTGGAGCTCGACAATTCGTGAGGCAGTCGGGGCGATGGAGTGGTGAAGTCAGAATGTCTTATTCCATCTCTATTCACGTCTGAAGCATCAATCACTTCAGGTGCAAAGACTGATCCACGTCGCCATTGCGGTAATGGCTCGTCTTCAGACAAAGTGGGACTAGTGTTGCAGTCAGCAGTGCGCGAAGGTGGGTTTGATGGCCGAGGCGCTGGAGTGCCGTCGAGCTCAAAAATGGGCATCGAATCCGTCCGCAGCTCATGAACCCCGTTGGTAGACTCTAGCTCTGGTATACGCAGCCCACCATTATCACTTCCTGCCGGGAGTTCGGGCAAAAGTGCGTCTGGTGATGTGGCTTCCTTTGCGGGTACTTCAGCTGTGCAGAGCGCATGGTGGGCTCTAAGGTATGTGAGGTTTTTCTTAGCAGCAGAGCCCAAGAAAGGGACTAGTTTCTCAGCCCCTGGAAGATCCTGACGGTCCTCGTTTGCAGAAGCTAGCGAACGTTGTCGTCTATTGATTGATTCAGCAGTATTGACCGTCCCGACATCAAGAGCGTGCAGACAAGACGAAGCGAGGAGGCTTGCTGCTCCTTCGACTGAAATGAGGTTGTCCGCAATATACAGATGGGTTATACCAACTTCTGATAAGTCCTCCACCCAAGAACGTCCTGTTAGTGGCTGGGTAAATGCTGCCATGTATCTCTCATCCAGCATAGGGCTACTTAAAAACCTTTGAATCGACGAGAGTGGTATTGACTGAGACCCGCCAATCGGACTACCCCATGCTCCCGACCTTCTCGAGCCAAGTTCTGCGGTGATATTGCTTGTGGGTCGAAAGCAGGCTTGCAACAGAGACCTCACTGCCATATCAGTAAGAAGGTTGTTGCGCAAGTCAAGAAACCGAACACGATAGCCAAGGGCGTTAGCAAGAAACTCCGCATCATTATCTTTCAACCCGATACCCCGTAGCTTGAGTACTTGAAGGCATTCTAGTTGTGATAAAGCCGACAGAACCAAGCGATCTCTAGCAGGGGTAGTATAGGATAAATCCAGGTAAGTCAATTCAGGGAAGTACATCAGCGTCTCTGCAATACCCTGTGAGGTTGTGTTATATTCACTGTCCGCCAGTAGTAAGCGAATGTTGTATGTGCGGGAAGTTGTTGCTTCATCTTCAACACCTCGACAAGCGCCTTTCAGAGCCATCATGGCATTATGATCGAAAAATGGCAACTTGGACACGATAAGAGACTGGAGGTTTGGCAGAGAGTCTAGAATCTCCCTCAGCCACTCCGGACGCGGACCACCATAGATTTCTGACAAGGCCGGGGGTAGATGCAGTGTATGAGTGAGCATCCGCACCTCGAGACGGGCATACTTGAGTGTCCGCCTGAACCTTGTCAAAGCGACTGCACGGCATATCTTTCGTCAGCGCTAGGATTTCAGCACCCGCCCCAAAGACCAGGGATCTCATACCGTAGACTGCATCATTTTCAGTCCCAAAGTGTGAAGCAGGGTCGCCCCATAGAAACGGCATGAACAGCCCATGCCATCGCCGACAGACTAGAGCAGCAGCGCACAGGTCGCTTGATGGGATGTACTGCGATACAATGGACCATGCATCGCGGGCTGTAGCAGACTGATAGGATGGTGGCACTGTGTCCATGGTAGCTACATGTGGGTTGGTTGGGGGCCTTGGTTCTCTTGAGGATTTCTCGGGCTGGTCTGGAACCACTATTTTTTTTTCTTGCCGACGGAGTAGGGGCGAAACCAGGAGGCAGCGTTCTTTGAAGTACGAGGAAGTTCCAGCAAGCTTAGCAGGCTGGGATGATCATTTGGTTGTCATGAAATCGGGGGCCAAGGAACGCTCGGCCCCAAATCTGCAGTCAGCGCGCCGGGCACTGCCACGGGGTGCGATGGGGCGTAGGAAGACACCAAGGATCCATAAGGCATTAAGCTTGTGGACTCTGATTTGCTGTCCGTAAGCGCGAACAACATCGGAGGTCGCGAAGATCGCCTCGTGGTCAATGATCGAGGCAGACAGCTGTCAGGAAAGCAGAGAAGGGAAGAAGGTCTCTCTCTATGGATCTGGGGATCATTAAGCCCATGGAATGAACTGAGCCCTGACTGAAAATGGCAAGCTGACGGACAGGTACCCGTCTGACGTCATCCCCCGCTTCGTCCGCAAAACACTCCGAATCACCACAAAAAGCCTCCAGAGAACCTTTACCATGCGACATCTTATAATATTTTCTTCTTTGCTTTCGCATCCCAGACTCTCAGATCATCTTGTTATTTCTCACTAAGCTCAAAGAGTGTACTGGTTGGAGGGATTGGGCTACGACAATGCTGCGAGATAGCCGCATAAATGCCTCCAACCCCGAGGACCGGATGTCATTCCAAGAGCTGGCGGGTCTGGCAATGAAGCAGGAGAGACTGCGACAATCGCCAGGAAAGGGAGGGAAAGAAAACGCAATCTCAGAGCGAGACTTTGTTTTTCCACCGAGGAAGTCGATGGATCCTGATACTTTTACTCAAGATGACATTAACGCCTTTGTTGTCCAACGAATGACCCATGAGGGGCAGATGTACAATCGCAGCAAAAGTGTACGAGGACACAACAAAAGGCCGAGCCAAGAAGAAATCAACGACTATGTGATTGAACAGATGCAGCGTGAGCAAGCGGAAAAGTCTCACAGCGGCCAGCAAGCGCGAGCGCGAGCACCACCGAACCCGCCCCATCATGAGCCAAAGCAGTGTTCATTCTGTGGCGACAGACATCATCAGGTCACAAATTGCTGGCGGCGATGGAGGGTTGCGGTTGAGGCGCCGCAAGGCCAATTTGTGCCGAGGCGTGTTGAATACAAGTTCCAGATACCGGGCCAACCACCTATGTACCGCTCCGGTTTCACACTCTTCTAACACATGACTATGGCGACACTTTAATTCATGGTGCTTGGATTTAGGTACTAAATTTACTCGACTTACGATTGAGATTCCGGCATAAGCATGGCGTCAAGGAGTTCGACTGATGGTTGATATGACACTTCACATTTCATTTTAATGTGTCAGGAGCATTATAGGAATGATCAATTTGACTTGCACGAGTTATTCCTGTGACAAATAGGCAGCTTCCTGTATCCATATCATTCACAGTAGACCAGTAGGCTTGTGGTAAGCAAGAATTGGGATTTCCAACTTCTGCGATTCGTACTCCTGATACATAGCGTCCAGATCGTGGGAGGAAGGGTCTTTCTGTATGTGCGTGCTCCATAGCCTTGACTGGAGGATTACACAAGCGTTTGCCCATGCACAGACAGTGCCAGCGAGGCCTTCTGCGAGGGAGTACGGGCGATCGGGCATGCGGTACAAGGGCGAGTCTCGCTTCGGATCACTGTAAGGGGGCGTTTTTCGCGCCTCTAATAGTAATGCGAGTGCTCTTGCAAGAAAGTAGTCGCCTGTTAGCTCGCTTGCATTGGACGCTAAATCAACATCTCCCGTTCGCGCGACGTAGTTACGTCTGGTTGTCTCCATGAGATCCTCATCATACTGAAAGCTGTCATGAAGGAGTAGCAACGACCATGCATTTCCTGTAATCCCATGGCATAAGCTACCGCCCTTGTACAGAACCCCTTCCTTCCAGACCCGATCACACGCCATAGAAATGACCTTGTCCCACTCCGGCTGCCAGAAAGTGGAAACCAAGGGACGATTTCTCCTGGCGCAGGCCATGAGATTCAGGAAACCGGGGCTGCCGTGACATATTTGAACAAGAGGGCTAGAGCGGCGCGAAGAGCCATGAAAAGGAAGACTGGTAGGCAGGTGGCCACTATTAGCAATACATATTTTGCAAAGACCTGTGATTGTCCCAGCTATTAGTGGCAAATAGTCGCGTTCTGCACCGTTGCTGAGTTCTTCTGGCGTGCAGGCAAGGAGACTAGAAAGTATGCCAGCTTGTCAGACAGAATTGTCAGTTATTGAAACCTTATGGTTACTGCATAGTGTATATACACTTGCCTATGCCATGTACTCTGGTCATGTGGTCAGCCTAGTGCAAAAGTGCTAGTTGAGATGATACTAACGCCCCAAGACTATACCGGTCTTCCTTCCAGTGCCACATCAATGGCAAGGCATCCTGATCTCCATGCTTGGAGATGAAGTCTTCCCTACCAACAATTCCACTCGCAATGATACGGTCGACTAGCCGCGGTATCTCTTTGAAAACCAGAGTCAAGGCCTGCGCTGTCTTATCCTCATAACCACGCAGTCGAAGGTTAAGCAAAGCCCACAGCAAGCCGGCTCGACCGAATAGAACTTCATCTGAGCCCATGAGCGAGCCTCCATGTGATACCATGTGGCCATTATTCAGAGCGATCCGCATCACCTTTTGAATGCATTCCGTATCGTTACTAGAAACTGCTGTTTTCAAGTCCCTTGAGGCAAGGATGCGCAGTATCGGACCCGCCAATGCGCTGGAAGAGCCGAACGGAGACACTCTCTCATGCAGGATTGGCACATCCGGGCCTTCTGGCAATACTCGCTCGATGGCGAGCTGATGAAAGCGCTGAGAGTCAAACCCAAGTGATTTGACTTGGTGGTCTAGGCGCAAGAAAGTCAGAACGATACCTAAGCTATCATCAGCGGAGCACGAACAAAGGGTGATTTGATCAAGGAACGGCAGTTGTTGGTCTATGCGGCGACGATATACCTGGAAGTCCAGCATAGAAACCAGTATTATGGGATTTCCCCCAGTCTTTGAGCGGGGGACAGTTCTCTTGTAGAAGCATAGCCCCACGTTGGACAGCCTCCTGGAGCTGCTTGAGTGTATCTTTTAGGGAGTCTTCGCTGATCGCAACAGGACTCAGCGTGTTGGGGTAGAACTGAGGGGCATTCCCAATCGACATTGGAGCTATTAAACAGGTGACATAGGTAACCTAGATTCTGTGACAACGCAATGGGAGGATTTACAGTAGACTTAAAAGTTCGCAGCTAAGGGAGCTCCTTGTTCATGGAGCAGGAGCGGTTCATGGAGAAGCATAGAAGCAACTGAAGTTTGATGTGGAAAACATACGGTTGTGTGACATCACTTCTCGACTCCTCAACGCAACCTTCAATACATGAATTCTTGACCCTGGACTAACACCATAAGTTAACACGAACAAGAGCTTTGTTATTGTCAAGGATCGCAGAAATTTTTCGCTAATGCGTACAATGGCCGTATGCTTTCCAAAGCTTTTGCTGGTGTTTACATACAACGGAGTATTTCAGATGCCTTCCTTTCTACGGCTATAGTGGAGAAGAGGGATACAATGCAACACCAAGTCATTTTTTTTTGCCAGATTTGATCGATTCGGCGTTGCAGGAGTCGTTGTGTCTTTGTCTTCAACCCGAACGAAACATCTGAAAGTTCTCTGTTTTTGTCCACGATATAGTGTGCCTGTAGCTTCCAGAATCATTGATGTTGCTCTTGCATGCAGCAAACGGAATATCAGACCGACAGTACAGAAGGACTTTCTGCCTGCACAGCATCAGCCATGTGATAACAATTACTCGAACTCATATGTTTCCTCGACATATAGCCTTGGCAAGTCACTTTCTGGAAGCTCCGGTCAAGCTGCATGAGTTATTAGCATATAGGACTAATGTGTGTAGGAAGGTTGTGCACAGAGATGCTCTTGCGGGGGATAATCAATAGTCGCTCGACTTGATCTCTTCTATGATCCTGTATAGTTTCCTGCGACTGAGGGAAAACCACTAGTCCAGATTGTATTCAGCCCAAATGAGCTGAGTAAAGAGAGCAACATCAGACGAGATGCGGTCTTTATGTAAATACTACTCCGTAACGTTACTGTAGTTGAGTTGAATACTCCCCGGCGGTCGAAAAGGAGGGCTGCGGGGCGCGGCATGATTGGTCACCGCCTTCGACGCTGAGAGCTCGGGGAAATTTTGGTCAGAGAGGCAGGCATTATTGAGACCCCTCCGTGAAAGCTGCGATCATTATTCAGGGCCACTTTCCCATCAACTCCCCACGCTTCCGCTCTCGGCTCTTCACCTTTCCCTCGCTTTGCCCTCTCTTTTCGCCCATTTATTTTCACCAAAATGGCCTTCGCTGGCCAGACCCCCACGATCATCGTGCTCAAGGAGGGTCCGTCATTTCGCCCGCATCCAAATGCTGCTTCTGTGTGTACCGCGGATCGTTGCTAACTGACCTTGCGATTTTTCCCCCAACAGGCACGGATACCTCACAGGGAAAGGGCCAGATCATCTCGAACATCAATGCTTGTGTTGCAGTCCAGTCTACGATCAAGAGCACCCTCGGCCCGTATGGAGGAGACTTGTTGCTGGTGGACGGCAACGGCAAGCAGACCATCACGAACGATGGAGCCACCGTCATGAAGGTGCGTCGGTCCCGATTGTGATATGTCTTCACTTGACTCTATTCTTCCCGTTTTCCTTGGGCAGATACTACTTTCCTTACCCCACTGTCGGATGCTGATGGCATTATCACCCATCTAGCTCCTCGATATTGTCCACCCCGCCGCCCGCATTCTCACCGACATTGCCCGGTCTCAAGATGCTGAAGTGGGAGATGGAACAACATCGGTTGTCGTCTTGGCCGGTGAGATCTTGAAGGAAGTTCGGGAACTCGTCGAGCAGGGAGTCAGTTCACAGACTATTGTCAAGGGTCTGCGGAGAGCCAGCTCCATGGCTGTGAACAAGATCAAAGAGATTGCTATCGACATGATCGAGGCCGCTGGAAGCGAGGAGAAGAAGGTGGAGACGCTACGACGCCTGGCCGCGACGGCGATGAACAGCAAGCTTATTAAGCGCAACTCAGACTTCTTCACCAAGAGTAAGTTGGCCTTATTGTCATACAGGGATTTTGGTTCTGGAAACTGAAGATTTGCTATAGTGGTGGTGGATGCCGTCCTCTCGCTCGACCAGGATGACCTCAACGAGAAGCTGATCGGTATCAAGAGAGTTACTGGTGGTGGTCTGCAGGATTCACTCTTCGTTAACGGTGTTGCCTTTAAGAAGACCTTCTCCTATGCCGGATTTGAGCAACAGCCGAAGTACTTCAAGGACCCCAAGATTGTGTGTCTGAACGTTGAGTTGGAGTTGAAGAGCGAGAAGGACAACGCCGAAGTGCGGGTGGAGCATGTGTCGGAGTACCAGGCTATTGTCGATGCCGAGTGGCAGATCATTTACAACAAGCTCGAGGCCATCTACAAGACCGGCGCCAAGGTTGTTCTCAGCAAGTTGCCTATCGGTGATCTGGCTACGCAGTATGTCTCTCTTTCGCCATCCTTGCCCTTGGCCTGCAAGCCACTAATTCTCGATTCACTGTGCACAGGTACTTTGCGGATCGCGATATTTTCTGTGCTGGTCGTGTGGCTGCTGATGATATGGATCGGGTCTGCCAGGCGACCGGTGCGGCAACGCAATCGACTTGCAGTGACATCCAGGATCGTCACTTGGGTACATGCGGTGTTTTCGAGGAACGTCAAATTGGTGGTGAGCGCTACAACCTTTTCTCGGAATGTCCTGCCGCCAAGACCTGCACACTCGTGCTGCGCGGTGGAGCGGAGCAATTTATTGCGGAGGTTGAGCGCAGTCTGCACGATGCCATTATGATCGTCAAGCGTGCTCTCCGCCACACCACCATTGTTGCCGGTGGCGGTGCCACCGAGATGGAGCTGTCGAGCTTCATGCACGGCTTCGCGGACCGCAACGTGCCCCACAAGCAGCAGGCCGTGGTCAAGGCCTTTGCCAAGGCTTTGGAGGTGATTCCCCGTCAGCTGTGCGACAACGCTGGATTTGATGCGACGGATATCCTGAACCGCCTGCGGGTGGAGCACCGCAAGGGCAACGTCTGGGCAGGTGTGGACTTCGACAACGAGGGTGTTCGGGACAACATGGCTGCCTTTGTGTGGGAGCCCAGTCTGGTTAAGGTTAATGCCATCCAGGCAGCTGTTGAGGCTGCCTGCCTGATTCTGAGCGTGGACGAAACTATTAGTAAGAGACCCAGCATCCCCAACCGAGTCTACTCCAGAGCTGACATGACAACCTTTCTTACTACAGAGAACGAAGAGTCAGCCCAAGCTCAGGCACCGGCGCGTGGACTCCCACCGGGTGCTGCCCAGCGCGCTCTGGGTGGCCGCGGACGTGGCATGCCTCGCCGCGGACGGTAAACGATAGGCGGACGAATGATAGATTTGGACCTGTATGCGATGGAATGGTTGAATATAAAAGCAATCAATAATCTGAATAGCGCTTGAGTGCTTTCCATTGGTTGTGGATAATATCATATTTTCTTTATCTTTTACAATAGGGGCTGGGCTGTTCGTAGACTAAATTATCCAGATCGGGAAGGTCCACTATCCGTCACTCACTTACTGGGCCCTGACTGCATCACGTGTTGCTGTCCTGAAGTCCCACGAGGGCTATGGAATCGTTCGCGATTCCCATGAATTGATGGGTTTATACCCCGGCAGTTCTTCAGTGGTACCATGATGGCTGATAGCCACGAGGATGGCCAGCGATGAGGACGGGCCGAATACGATCTGTGATAGGAGGGGCGCATTTGGAATTTTGACGCTGGCACTGCAGGTTGATTATTATTTGCATCGGCGCAATGCAGCTGGGGATCGGGGAGACCGATATGCAGGAAAAAGACCTAGTAACCTATCCAAATGTTCATCCACATCTATGGTTTTCGTCCCCCAATAGACTAACTTTGTGTTTTTTTGTCGTCTATTTATTTCTCTTCAGATTACCTACTATCTAATTGAAGAAGTAAATCCAACCGAGGAAGCACCAATCGACGCGTCGGGCTCCACTGCCGCCTTTCCCCAGTGACGGACTGCGCCTTTCTCTCTCACTCCCTCACCATCTGACCTGACCTTCTCCTCTCCTCCTCTTTCAACCCTTCCTTTTTTTTTTCTTCTCCCTTTCTTCTCTCTTCGCTTTGCCCTCTCGTCTTATTCCCTGGCTCGTGACCTGCTTGGGGTCTACGTATCAGTCTTCCCTATTCTGCTCCTGTGACTCGCTCATATATCCTCTCCTTCCCTCTGCAATTCGGCGATGTCCTACTATCCTCCATATTCGGGCCCGCCCGGGTATCCCCCGCAGCAGCAACAGCAGCAGTATAATTACCCCCCTCAGAGCTACGGCAGCCCGCCACCACAGTATCAGCAGTGAGTCTCAGTCGCCCTCTTATTCTTGCTTGGGCAAATAACCAAAAGGACACCTCGTACTTGATGTTAATCAATGTCCCAGACAAATGAATCCTCACCATCACCATCACCAAGCGTCTTATGGCGGCGGCGGCGGCGGCTACCCTGGTCAGGCCTACCGCCAACAACAACCACCTCCCAGCAATCCTTACCCCTACGGTCAGCCGGCGCCCCAACAGTATCAGGGATCGCAACCGCCCCAGGGCGGCTATAATGTATGTAGCGAGCCCAAGTCTTATTTCCCTGTACAACGGACGGTTAACGGCAGTCCTTTAGGGTGGTTATGGTGCTCCCCAATATGGTGGTCAGCAGGGTAAGCCACAAACCGCACTAACGTGCAGTTTTGACGCAACTGACGCTTTCCAGGGTACTCGAACCAGTATAACCAGGGCAGCCAGGGCAACGGACCTCCTCCTCCGCCAAGTGAGCCGGTGGCTTTCGGTCATGGTGCGCCGCAAGGCTACAGCTTCCAGTACTCTCGTTGCACGGGCAAGAGAAAGGCCTTATTGATAGGAATCAACTACTTCAACCAGAAAGGCCAACTCCGGGGGTGTATCAACGATGTTAAGAATATGTCAACATACCTGAATCAGAACTTTGGCTATGCTCGTGAGGACATGGTTCTGTTGACGGATGATCAGCAAAACCCTATGAGCCAACCCACCAAGGTCAATATCCTCCGGGCTATGCACTGGCTGGTGAAGGATGCGCAGCCTAATGACTCTCTATTCTTCCACTACTCTGGTAAGTGCCGACATGTTAACCCTCTCTTTTCTTTCGAGGCTGGTCTAACGGCAGCAGGCCACGGCGGTCAGACCCCTGATCTGGACGGCGACGAGGACGACGGATACGATGAGGTGATCTACCCGGTCGACTTCCGCGCCGCGGGACATATTGTCGATGACGAGATGCATCGCATCATGGTCAAACCACTTCAGCCAGGAGTGCGGCTCACAGCCATCTTCGATTCGTGCCATTCTGGATCTGCCTTGGATCTGCCGTACATATACTCCACCCAAGGAATTCTCAAGGAGCCCAACTTGGCTAAGGAGGCGGGTCAGGGTCTGCTGGGCGTGGTCTCGGCCTACGCGCGGGGCGATATGAGCAGCATGATGTCAACGGCAGTGGGGTTCTTGAAGAAGGCGACCAAGGGAGACGAGGCGTACGAGCGTACCAAACAGACCAAGACAAGCCCGGCAGACGTGATCATGTGGTCGGGCAGCAAAGACGATCAGACTAGCCAGGACGCACAGATTGCCGGACAAGCCACGGGAGCCATGTCGTGGGCGTTCATCAGCGCGCTCCGCAAGAACCCACAGCAGAGCTACGTACAGCTGTTGAACAGCATCCGCGACGAGTTAGCTACCAAATACTCGCAGAAGCCGCAGCTGAGCAGCAGCCATCCCTTGGGTAAGCAGTGTCCTGTTGTTCCGGTATAATGTATAATATAGGAAGCGGTTCTGACGGAATATAGATGTGAATTTGCGGTATGTCATGTAAATAGGCGTTTGTGGGCTTTATGGGTCGAGCGATGGGATGAGAAATATTGGTGCCTTTCATACTTAATCTCTACTATGGGCTGTCATGCTATTCTCGCTGCTTCCTTAGCTTTAGCGGTCACGGCTTGTTTTGGATGGTCAGAATGGTCAGTTGTTCTAAAGCATACCCTATCTGCAATGGCACAGGATACACACGTATGCCAACTGTATAAACTTCATGATTGTTTCATTATATTTCCATGATATGTCGTTAGTTTTGTCTGAGTGCATGTGCGCCCCAAGACGGACTACCACTACCACCTTTTGGGCGCATCGACCACCGTCCTCGAAAACGAGGCACTGACCGTCTCTCTCTGCTTCTTTTTCTGAGCCGCGATAATGCCAGTGCGATCTGTGACGGGGGTGGCATTGATGATATTATCGAAAGCATCCTCTTCATCATCACTGCCGCCTTCCGCCGACCCCGACTCCGCATCCGAGTCCTCTTTCAACTGCTGTGGAACCGTCTCTTCTTCGGGCCTCGCGATCCGCTCGGGCTTCGCCTTCTCCTCGACCTCGGGATTCTGGAACGCCTTGGAGTTCAAGATCTTCGCTCTGATCGCAGCCATCTGCTCTTCCTCCTCCGAATCATCCGAGATGGCGAACGGGTCCTTATCCTCCTCCTCTTCCTCCTCTTCATCATCTTTGTCCTCATCGTCCTCCTCCGAATCACTCTCAGCCCGCCGGTTCGTGTTTCCGACGGTCCACATATCGTCCGCACCCGTAGCCCGATTCTCCTCGTATTCCCTCTCGATCTTGGCGAGCCAATCCTCCTCGGCGCGCTTCACCTCCTCCTCATCGGCACAGGCCGCGTAGCGCTTGAAAAGCTTGGCGTTGATCTCCATGAAGGCCTCCCCGTAGCGGAAGGGTTTGAGGACTTCGCGCGCCCAGTCTTCGTGGCCGCAGATACAGAAACAGGCCGCCAGGGCTTCGACGCAGTTCAGACGCCAAGGTTTGCCATAGTTGACAGTGTTGGCGGCAATGAGGTAGGGGACTATGTGAAACACAACCCAACCAGATAATTAGACTTGATCGAGAGGGAGTATGTAAATGGAAGAAAGGGAGAGAGGGAGCAGAGACGTACGCAAACGTTCACACTTGCCACCGATTCTGGACCAAGGGACCTCCTTGGTGCGCACCCAAGAGCATTCGACCACCGCGGCACCGAATTGTTCCATGAGATCCTTGTCAGCGGGGGAGACGACCTTTTTGGCGTTGGGCCTGGGGATTAGAGAACACAAGCATGTTAGTAACGAGAGTCCACGATCCGCAATATCTATACCATATACATCTTGGGCCATAGCTGTGTGTAGGTGTGGGGTGAGGGCTAGCGACAAAACATACGAAATCACGACGCCGGGAAAGCGCTGGCCGATCGCCAACTCGCGCATCAGGCCGAAATTCATCAATCGTTTGCCGGAACATCGCTTCGGATCGCAGTGGCCCATGTCCCAGCAGGCGGCCTTGAAGGGAGGACGGGAGTAACCGCCCTGCTCGGGGTCACTGTCGCCATCACCACCACCGCCGCCGCGGGGAGGGGGACGAGAGCGCGGGGCGGAGGAGAATTTCTTGCCGCCGCGGGAGAAGTTGTCCTTCTTGTGGCGGACCATAGTGTGAATTTTGGCTTTTGTTTAGAGGGTCTGTATAGCCAGGCTGAAGAGTATATTGAATTGCGTAAGGTATTAGACTGCAAGCATGTGCAGCTATATCAAGAAGCCGGTGTGCAGCGTGTAGAAGAGGTAGAGGAGTGAAGGTGCAAAGGTGGTGGTGGTGTAGAAGTCGAGAAAATGCAGGCAGTGACGGAGAGCAACCAAACCAAACCAACCAACCAACCAAGCCCGTCCTGCCCTGTCAGGTTAACCCGGCATCGGGACGGAAAGAAGTTCCCCTCATTCTTCCCTGTCCGCTTCCCCCATTAATTCGTTCCACCCATTCCATCATCATCATCATCATCGTCCTTCTTCCCACTGCTTGTTACTACCGCCGCCTTAAACTGTTCCCCGACTCCGATCTTCCTCCACGTGCGCTACCCAATACTCACTTTACTCAATTCTCTTGCCCTATCATTCTCATTCCCCCTTTGGTCCTTTTCAATTAATTCACCCTGGAGGCCGCTTCAGCACGTATGGCAGCGAGGGACCGCTTCGGTGCCTACGCTGACCCGGGCTTAACACCGCTACAAAGAGCTATCCGTATGTGTCTTCTGTGCCCCCCCCCCCCTTCCCTTTCCCCCCCTTCTCGTTCTCTTTCATCTGGATTTTTCCCCACCACCACGATTCTCGACATATGAAGCTTTTACAGAAATATGACGAATTGCTCATATCTTATCTCCCACCACTACAGGAAATGCCTGTGACCTGTCCCACTATGAACCCAACCTCGCCCTGAATCTCGAAGTGGCCGATCTCATAAACTCCAAGAAAGGCAATGCGTGAGTTTCTTGACTGGCGTTGCGCATCCCCGCCGTCCTGGGAAGCACGCATCGGAACTAATGGCCGTCCGCAGACCTCGAGAAGCGGCAATCGAGATCGTCCATCTGATCAACTCGCGCAACCAAAACGTGGCGCTACTGGCGTTGGCAGTAGGTGGCCTCAACATATCACCGGGCAGCTGGCGCGGAACATAGACTGACGAGACCCTTTCGGCTAGTTGCTCGACATTTGCGTGAAGAATTGCGGTTATCCCTTTCATCTTCAGATCAGCACCAAGGAATTCCTCAATGAGTTGGTCCGTCGCTTCCCCGAGCGCCCGGCCATACGGCCCTCGCGCGTGCAACATCGCATCCTCGAGTCCATTGAGGAGTGGCGACAGACGATCTGTCAGACTTCGAGGTACAAGGATGACCTAGGCCACATTCGGGACATGCACCGTCTGCTACTTTACAAGGGCTACGTGTTCCCCGAGATCCGCCATGAGGATGCTGCGGTCCTGAATCCCAGTGACGTGAGTTTACCCTATCGATTGTGGACGCTCGCTTTGCTGACCCGTCAAGAACCTTCGCTCGGCCGAAGAAATGGAAGAGGAAGAGCGTGAGGCTCAATCCGCTAAGCTGCAGGAGCTAATTCGCAGAGGTACCCCGGCCGATTTGCAAGAAGCCAACCGCTTGATGAAGGTCATGGCCGGTTACGACAACCGACACAAGACGGATTATCGGGCCAAGGCGGCAGAGGAGGTGGCCAAGGTGCAGCAGAAAGCCAAGATTTTGGAGGAAATGCTACAGAGTCACCAGCCGGGCGACCGAGTTGCTGAAGGGGACGTATTCGAAGTAGGTTGTCCATCTCTTAAAGCCGGCACAGAACCTGCTGACAGTTATCGACAAGGAACTGGCGAGTGCACTCCAAAGCGCCCATCCCAAGATCCAGAAGATGTGCGAGGAGGAGTCGGATGATCCAGAGGCCGTACAGAAGCTGCTCGAGATTAACGACAGTATACACCGCACGATCGAGCGATACAAGCTTGTCAAGAAGGGTGACTGGGAGGCGGCCTCTCAGATTCCCAAGGGTACTCTGGGCACGACAACGGGCGTGTCGAAGAACGCTAACAATGAACTTTCCCTCATCGACTTTGATCCCGAACCCGCACCAAACGCCAACGGCAATGGGGCCGTGGCTCCTACTGGAGGTAACTCTCTGGAGAATGACTTGTTGGGACTGTCAATAGACGAGCCTGTTCCGGCTCATGGTGGAATCTCGCTGGGGCCTGGTAGGCGACTTACATACCTTGTGACGTTGATGCGTGCTAATACCTGATCTCGCAGCCCCTACGGCGTCCGCGACGCCACCAATGCCTCAAGCGTCCACTAGCTTCAGGCCCAATTATGACATCTTCTCTTCGATGAACACATCTCAGCCGCCCTCACAGTCATCCACGCCCGCCCCAGGTGGGCGGCCCCAAAGCATCATCTCTTCTCCTGCTACAGCAACCCCTCCTCTTGCTCTCGATCCGTTTGCGTCCTTGGTGTCTGCCGGGTCGCGACAGGCCAGTCCTCTGCCCTCCGGCAGGGCCTCGAGCTCGCAGCCGCCAGCAGGTTCGTTGTTGGACCTGATGGGAAGTGAGCCTGCACCACCAGCAAACAGCCAGATCAAGGCGCGAGAGGAGGACGAATGGGATTTCGCTTCATCTCTACCGGAAAGCAACGCGCTACCCAGCATGAACCGCGTACAGGTGCTGAACTCGACCCTCCGAATTGAATTCATGGCGCGCCGACACCCCCAACAAACGCAGCAGATTCATGTGGTAGCCCTGTTTTCCAACAGCTCTAACCAGCCACTAAGTGAACTACACTTTCAAGTGGCCGTGGAGAAGGTGACCCCCCCTCCCCTCTCCCCCCCGGTTGACCTACAAAGATGATATGCTAACGGAGCCGCACAGGCATACGCACTGCAACTGCGGCCGCAGTCAGGACGGGACATTGCACCCTCACAGGCGAACGGGGTGCAACAGGAAATGTTGGTGAATAGGGTTCCAGTGGGTAAAGGAAACGCGATCAAGATGCGGTTCCGCGTCTCGTACCGGGTGGGTAGCGAGCGCAAAGAAGAGCAGGGCATGGTTCCGTCATTGGGAATTGCCTAAAAGAGCTGAAAGCTGAATTACAACCGACCAGAGGGTCAGGGGAGGAGACGAACGGAGGCAATTACCCTAGACATATGGTTTGAACCCGTTCCAGGCATGGTGGTGTGTTTGATATCTGAATCTCTTGTGACTTTTGCGGCTTTTGCTTTGTTTTGTGAGAGATTTCCCAACTAGCCTGCATAGTTTTTCGTATCCATGTATACCTGAGCCAGTTTGAAGAAGTGAGCGAAATGTGGTCTCTTGTCTTGGAGATAAAGATCTTCCCCTTCTTCCTGCCAATGTTTTCTTGTTTCCTGACGCGGACTGTCCACCCCTCTCAGGCCCTGTTTTGGGATGGCCCTGGACAGCCACCGGAGGTCTATTCGGAAATGAAGCTGGGGTAGGACCCCTGAAACGGGCATCGTCCCTCAGAACCGATTGGGTCGTTGCCGAGAGGGTGTACCAGGGTGCTCGGCCAAATGGCTGCTGGGCCGGCGAGGGGAAAGAAGGATGGCTGGGACCAGGATTGGTCGTGAAGTTAAAGAGGGGAATCAAAGGGTGTGTGAGCTGAGCGGGGGGAGTGGGGGGGGGGAAGTAGTGAGATAAGGCAAGAGGTTGCAACCACCGACAGGGACAGTAAAGTTCAAGGAGAGCCTTGAGGAATTGGAATGGTCCCGTTCAGACCTTTCGGGTTGATGGGAATGCTGACAGTGGGTTGACAGGCGTGAAGTACGAAGAAGAAGTGGGAAGGGTGGCGGGGGCACAGACCAGGACGTCTTTCCTTCACATCCCAAGGTTATTGCCGGGCTTCTTCGGGATCTGACACGGGCATGTACTGCAAGTACTGTACATGTGCAATCCAGTCGGCAGCTGCGATCTGCCAGATCTTCGTCTTCTCAGATCTGGTCTGCGGGGAGAGGGGCGAATTACCGACCAGGTGGTTACGGGGGTGGCAGTAGTCACAAGGATGGGGGAATTTAAATCATACAAGAGAAAGTTGTCTCTTATTGAGACCGAGGAGGGGGGGATGGATCCGTCAACTGTTTTCCTGCGGGTCAAACAGCTTCAAAGATGAGACTGAGAGACTGAGAGACTGTCATCTTCGTGTTCAGGGCAATTCCCTGATAGGGTAATAACAAGGCGGCATTGGGCGATGTCTGCAGTCGATAATCCAACCGTTCCCAGCTGAGTAATGAGCCAGAGGGAGAGACGAGAGTCGACCTAGTCAGTCAACATGAATGTAGTGTACCTACCTGGATAAGTACGTACTAAGTAAAGGTGCAACACTCACCCGTTGTTGAGTTGGAATCGTATCCATGTATGTACCTACAGTAGCGCCATACCGATCGATTACCCTGATCATGCAAGATTCAATACAAGACCCTGCAGGCTGACAGTGGGGCAGCAGCACTCTATCAGCGTAGTGACTAAGCTAATGTCCCGCCCAAGTCCGATTGCTCTTGCCGCTCTGGGTAGGATTGGCGATCAGTGGGCTGCAGAATGACAATACCATACGGTAAGGAAACTATGAAACACTCCAGGCTGGCAGCTTATCTTCCTTCCTTCAGATTGTTGTTCATCAATAGAGACTCGCTCCAGTCCTGCTAAGCAAGCGAATAATTGACTTTGGAGACAGCCTCAAGGGTTTACGAGCGATCAGGCAACCCAAAACTATCCTTTGTCCTTCTTTCCCTCCTTCAGTCGTCTGTTTCTCTTCTCTGATGCTCGTCTGCATGCCTTTTCCTTGGCCTCTACTCTCTCACCCTCGCAATCATGGCCTTGGGACAATGATTCCGGTCGTATTTTACTGCATTCCCTAGCTACCTTGCCTTTCGAACGACTGGGAATGACTTCAGGTCCTCCCATGGATATGTACTCTCGCCAGCTGTCCAGGATGCTCAGACCCAGCGCCGCAAAGAACTCTAGCTGTTGCCCGTCCCATGGTTCCAGCAGACTCTGAGGACTCGCCAGACCTCCCCCCACCCCACCCCCCGGGGAGAGTCCCAGCCTTGGCTATGGTTGCTCTCTGGCTGATCCTGTCTGGACTCGGGCGTCTTTTCGCCTGTCAGCTTGGGGTTCCCCAGCTTGCATTTCCGGTAGTCAAGTACAGTAGGTTCTCGGCCTGAACCACTCCGTTGTCCGCTTTGCAGCGTAGGATGCCCCTCCTTGGCAACCATCTATTTAATTTCTCCTGCTGGCTGCTCTCTACAACTTCTTTCTTTATCTTAATTCTGGCCTTGCTCTGGACGAGGTATTACCCGTCTATTGTTGTCGGTTCTTTTTCGGCCCTAAGGCTCCTGTATCTCTACAGCCTTCATTGACTGCAGTATTGCTCTCGGCTCACATTTATCACCCACACAGCTCTACTTTCCTCGACTCTCAAACATCGCTTCAAAATGGGATCTCCTGGCATCGACATCGATGTCGCCCCGAATCCTCGCACGAAAGAGGAAAATCAGGAACGGTAAGTGCCACCGACTCCAGAGGCTTGTCCTATGCTGATTGATCCCAGGGCGTTCATTGCAGCTTCGAGACGGAAAGATCGAAGCCTCGATGCCCGCGTGGAGTCGGCCAACCGGGCCTCCAGCCTGCACAAGCAACGTACAGGCAAGGCTCTCCTCATCAGCAGAGACATTGTGGAGCGAGAGGCGATGTACGAAGAGGTTGATGATCGCTACCAAGAGAAGATCAATCGGATGCTGCATGCTCAGTCCATGCAGCTACATGCCGAATTTAACCGGAACCTAATGGCCGCCTGGCATGGTGCACGTCCCGGTGGTGGATTGCATCAACGGCGAGCTGCCAGTGCTCATATGAACCCGCGCGCTTCGATCAACGGCATACGCAAGATGAGCCTTGATCTGTCCGGGCTGCGATCTTCCATCGCCGAGGACTGCAGGATGCAGCCCGGCCCAATGACCAGTCCGCTGTCGGCGAACCCTAGCAGCTACGTACTCTCTCCTACGTTGGACGGGACTGCGCAGTCGCCGTCGTATCCCAACGTTGTTCCTGCTTCGGCGGGCCAAGTGCCATCCTACATTGCCCAGGCGGGCGGACCCACCTGGTCCCCCGTCGCCCACCAGCAGCAGCAACGCGGCCCGCAACAGCCCTTTTGTTCTCCCTGGACTGCAGGCTACCTATCCCCTCAGCTACAGCAGCCTACAGCCTCTCTCAGTGAGATGGCCGCGATGCCGGTGCGGCAGTTCCGAGACCGCATGGCGTCCGCACCGGTCATTCCAGTCCACACCCTGGCCGCTTCTCCTTTCATGGGCACTCCTGCCGTTGGGGGAACAACCACCACAGCTGCTGCTACCGTGACTCCCCCAACTCCGGCGATGAGCCGCCCGGTCAACGTGATCCAACACAACCGCGTCCGGTCGGAACCAGGTCAAACAGTCCTGGCACACGGCCTGCCGACCACTACTACAATGTCGCAGATGAGCTCTCCGCGCGGCAGTGGGCAGGACATGGGATCTTCTGCCGAGCCTATTATCCCCACGCCCGACCTATGTCCTACGCCGAGTACGCCACACTCCCCTCACTTTACAGGGCAGAACCCTGGGGGTGTTTGGGGACTGGATCTGAATAAGGAGGAAGGTGTGGAGGTGACGTACCAAGCGGATGATCTGGATCCCGAGTATGATGAATTTAGCCGCTTCGCATTTGGACTGGGTAGTGGCAGCCAGCTACCGGAGGCGGACGTGGGGTTTGACGAATTCTTCACATTAGAAGAGTACCCCATTAGTGCTTGATGCGTGTTTCGTTGGTTTCTCTTCTGTCTGTCTGTGACTCCACACCCTTTATCTTATTTTTAGTTTTTTTGGTCTTATTACTTGATCGGTTGGGAGGATTTGAGGCAGGAGTGCCTGTGCATATTTGTACAATTTGTACAATTTGTACACAAGGAGGGAGGTGGAGGCTCCCAGTACAGCAATACCCGAAGACTATGGCGTTGATGGGATCCGATCTGCGAGCAGATACGGACATGCGTGATGGATATAGTGATTTAACTACTACTATTACTACTATTACAAAATAATGAGAGACGATGCCTTACCTATGTTTCCACTTTTCTCTGTGTGTATGTGTGTTGAACAAGCGGATTCTCCCTGCAGACTATGCGTCCAAGCGAATTCAGTCAGGATCCAGGATAAGCCAGATCCGTGGAGGAAGCAAGAGTTTTTTCTTTTTTTTTTTCTTTTTTTTTTCATGTCTGTACGGAATTAGAAAAGGGTAGGGAAAAGGGCAAGGGCAAGGCACCCGCAGCGTTACATTGAAAGCATGCCGCAAACAGCGATCCCTTGCCGATCAATCTGGAGAAGTACATGAATCAATAAGGGAACAGAAAAATCTCTTTCACCTTCCCTCACTTCCCTCCCTTCCCTCACTTCGACATTGTTCTTTGCATGCATCCTATGTCATGGTGGCATATTGCGGGACTTTGAAAAATTCTTCTTGCTGCTGCTTTCACAATCACTGGAGCTCTTCTGGTTCGCGGTGGAGCTTCCGTTGGGGATTTGAGTTGCAGTCTATAGTCACAGCAAGCCGTAGGTCGGTAGGTATCTGGGATTTTCAATGGCATGCATGCATGCACAGAAGAATCTAGATCTGAAGGGGAGAAAACTAAGCTTTCTGTCTGCAATGCGAGGTTATCGGGAATAGAGGGCTTATTTCTTTGGGGTGTGTGGACTGTCCACATACATACCTTAAGGGAAGTACTATGTGGTCGGGCTGGTCTAATCTGGTTTGATACTGCGGGCTCAATCAAAGTGGTAGTCCAATCTTGGGGCTGTGTAGTAGTACATCCATGCACAGTACCTATAGTCGCACTATAGAATGGCAAAAAGAAGGTCTTGAAGATGATCAGGGCGGGCTGGCCAGTGCCCAGTGGCCCAATACCCCAAGCTTGGGTGGATGAGGTGGTTCACCCCCACCGTCTCAACTCTAATACCTGATCTGTCGATTGATTGGATCCAGTGGGGTGGATCGTTTAATTAATTTGGGTTCTGGTCTGTGCTGGTTACTGATGACAGGATTTGGGTATCTGCGTTACCGATTTATCTTACATGGTCACTCTAGATAAGAGCCCCCCCCCCCCCCCCTGGCTGGCTGCCTGGCTGCCTGGCTGGAGCTAATGCACGCAAGCGGGTCGGGCTGCAGGTGTCCAGTTGGTCGGTTCGTAGCGGGGTTGTTGACAGAACTACAATTGAAAACTGAGTTTGAGGGACATTTGGAACAGGGATGGATGGATTTGAAATGCATCTGATTTCTGATTCATAGCTCGATGACTCGCTACGGGTTGGCTGAGCATTCGGGATTTAGGGTTTGTCAGGCGTAGCGGATCGATTTAGGAGTACGAAGTAGCTACGAGGCAAGTACTTGGTGTTCGAGCCAGCAAAGCCTGGGGAATTCTCTTCCGCTGCATCTGCCTCGTCTGCGTAGGTCGGGTGATTGCACGGATTGATGGTCTAGAAGCACCCAAGCAGATACAAGTCCCTCATCGCCTGTCCTGCATCCGCTCGCTTCGCTTCCCCGAACAATCCCTTCTTCGTCAACCTACCGACCTTTATTCGGTCAGAGCTCGTATACAATCCCCTCTTCTGGACCTCTTTCCCGAATCCCCCGAGCAACACCTAGAATATCCCATGACTTCGCCTCCCCTTAAGTACGGGAAAAGTAATTGTACACACAGACCTCTCCCTGACCACTTTCTGTCTCTCTTTGCGCCCAACCCCCAAACCAACCCATCCCATCCCTGTAGTAACTCCCCAAACTACCTACCGAGGAATCTGGAGGCGAACTCCTCCCTAGTAGTACTTACTGTACCAAAAGTAAAAGTTGGATTTGACCCGCGGCGGCGGGGAGGGGGAGGAGGGATTGGGAGGATCTATTCCTTTCCCACGGATAACCCTGAAACTCTATCACCTCTCAGAGACTCCGACCTCTCTCGCTTGCTCGCTCGCTCAAATTGGCCCAAATTTTTGAGAATGTCGGAGAGAGCTTGACACTCCTGACACTCGCTCGCTATTCAAAACAAAGTTTTTGCTCGGGGATGGCCGACAGCTGACTGATTGTTTTGGGCGGGCCATGGTGGAGTTTGGAATTTGGTCGATCGAGCGCCGTTTTAACGGCCACGCACATATACGTTTGTTACTAAGGTGCTAAGGTGCTTTAGGGAATGGAATATATTCTATTTGCCATTGAAATCTGTCGTCCTTGTTGATTCTTGTTGTTTGTTTGATTGCTGTTTGATTGCCGAAGGTGAAGGGATGGGATGGGATGGGAGGATTCGGGCAGTACTGCTGGTTGCCGCCCCCCCAAAAAACACCTCTTCCCTCCCCGGTTCCAGGGTGTACTCTTTCGGAGGTTTGTCGGCGTTTTCTGATAGAATCTAGCTAGCCAGATACTGTAGGTGTGTTTATGGATGGCCTGATGCTGTGAGTGGGAGGCGAATTTGGCTACCTCGATGTCTTAGGGTAAGGAGCGAGGGGATTGGTAACGTATTATCGGCTACATGCGTCCAACAGAGGCAGGTCTGACTCAGTCATGTATGTGGATATGTGGATGGTATCCATGTATGACTTGTCACTTGATAAGGGTTAAGCTGGTTGAAAAACAAATGATGAAGTGAAGCCAAGGTCTGTCTTAGTTGCATCTGCCTCCCGTCATCCTCACCTATACAATCCGCCCACTGAACAACTCCCGCCCAATCTCCCCACTGCGTCGCACACTTACACTCGAGCTGCTGCTCCGGCGACGTCGACTCCGACTCTCCGCTGGATCGGCCGGGCTTAGCCCGCTCGCCCGGGCCTGCAGGTTCAGAATATCCGTCAGACTCACCACCCCCACCAGGCGTCCCGAGAGCCGCGCCCCCGGCAGAGCGGACGCAGGGATCGATGGCACCATGGTTGTCGCGCTGAGGAAAGACTGGGGTGGGCTTGGCAGGTGCGCAGAGCTGAAATTCGGAGCTTGCAGGCTCGGATTGCTGCCGATCGCGGGGGTCTGCGGCGGAGATTGCGTAGTCGTCGGAAGAGGGATGTGCACGGAGGAATGAGAAGGGGTCGGGGGCCCCGACGAGGCGGGCGACAGGGGATCGGTGACCCACAGGCTGGATTATGATTCACAGTCAGGCTGGGCACTATCTGGAGCAGATCCTACTAAGCTTACCGGTGAGACTTGGTCGCAACCACCTTGGCCACGGTATGTGCTAGAGTCGAAGTCGGGTTTACGTGGAACACTGGGAATGAGTCCTTGCCTTCTTCCAGGCCACGTGTAGACAGGATAACGGAAATGAAATGCGTGCAGGTGTTGCGTAGTAGAGGGAGCGAGGACGACCGGGTGAGTAGCTATCGAGGTCAGCGACGCCGGTGCTATGCGAGTACAGTGGAACATACCTTAACATCGGTTGTTGAAATGTTGCCCACCACATTGAAATGGTTGTCCACCACGGCGATTGATGAAACCCCCTCATCATTCATGACCTGGAGGGCTTCGCAGAGCGGCCGGTCCCCACTGCAACGAAGACGTCAGTATGCAGTACTCGCATCTGAAAATGGAACATACTTGATTGAGATGACCTCGCGCGAACCAATTCCCAGCTCATGCAAGGATTGGGGATACAGCTGGTCAATCACCGGGAAGCTACGTCCGTTCTCCCAGAGAAACTTGACCAGCCGGTACTGACTGAAGATGCCCACCACTTCCTTGTCCTGCTGTTCATCGACTACCACAACACGGTGTACGCCTCCTCCGAAAGTCTGCACGGCCGTCATCACGTTGGCTGATGCAGGAAGCGTTGTCAGCGGTTCCTTCCTGCCTAGATCCTTGACATCCTTCAGCGGAATCTTGATGCCTTGTTTCGCCTTTCGAGCTAGTTCTTCGTACGATGCCAGTAACGTTTCATCGGGCTGCGTCAGTCCTGCTGCCAACAGAAGGTATGCATTGAGGTCGGAGTAGTCGAAAGTGCCCACGGCAGACTTCTGGTCAGGCGTTTCTCGGATCAAGAGTACCGGAGCTGCGGTATCGATCAAGATCTATTGTTGTCAGTCTTTCTGATAAGAAAAAGAAGAAGAAAACTTGAGAAGAAGAAACAAGAAGGAAGAAAAGAAAGAAGATAGAAACACTATAGAAACATTTCCTGGCCGCTTACATTCGTCGCTTCTTCAATCCCGGTATCGAGCTCCACGAATTTCAAGTCGTTCGGACTGACGAGCTCGCCAATCTGAATTTCCCGCCAGTCGCGACCGGCAAATGCAGAGTTGACATTGCTTGGAGCCGGAGGGTGATCAATGAGGCTCTGAATGGCGGACTGGGTGAGCGACGGTTGTCGTCGAGCCCTCGGAGATCCAGGAGTTCCGCGAAGGCTTTCGCTCATGCTTTGACGGTGCTGGTGACCGGGTGCGTGAGATGAAAGTCGGAGAGATCGGTTGCCCACAGAAACAGTCCGGGAATCTGTGCTGGAGCGGGGTGATGCAATATTTGATCCACTGGAATCATTCTCCGCCGCCGCATCGATAGGGTAGTCGGCCATCGCGGGGTGTGGTCGAAGAGGGGTAAGCCAGTAAAGGGAGCTCGGAGGCGGGCGATGCCCAAGTCGGGTGAGGTTGGAGTAGGTGCAGTAGGTGCAGTAAGGTGCAGTAAGTACAGTCCTCCTGCTGGAGACACCAACGGAGAAAGCGAACCAGAGATCAGGTATCAGAGTAGCCTGTCCACAGCGATAAGCCAAGACACACAGTCAGAAAAGAAAAGAAAATGAGGACTGGGGAAGATGGAGCCCAGTCATTGAATCGAGTCACAATTACAAGGCGGGGAACAACTGGCGTCAACTTGAACCGGTCGGGAGTAGCGCGGGGAGAGGCGGCGGCCGTCAGCCAATCAGCGTCTTCCTGCTGGTCATGCCAGCGTCATTGTGCTCAGTGAGGCCTGGGGCATCCAAACCCCCCCCCCATGCGATTCATGTCCTACTTCCATAGACATAAAGCTCACAGGAAGATGGATGAAGCCATTGAAAGTCAGAGAAGACACACGCAGATCATCTGCACGATCACCAG